CACACAAGATCTTACAGTATACAGAAGTCACAGTGTTACACTGACCTTAGACATCTAGTCCTGCAAAACAATTCAGTATATCCTTTTCCTTGCCGAACTGACTCCCTTATCCTTGAACATATTTTTTCCTGCTTTTCAGCTTCAGTAGTTCAAGGGAATGAAGAATTAAATACACACTGCAAGGCTCCTGAAATCCTACAGGCACACCATGCACTCCCCTTTCCTCGCCAAGAGATCTCGTTTCATTGTCAAAGGGGCAGGAAATGTGTAGCAGTAGCCCCTGCATCCAGAGGACTCCCCTCGGAGTATTTCTCTGAACACCAAAAGCAGCTTTATTTCCCTAGAAGATCTTGCACTATAGGAAACAGGTCACTCGATTAGTAAAGGATTACTCATTCAAAACAATTTTACAAAATTCACACCCATACTCTTATCGGGGAAGTGTTTCGGATCTTGAAACCTGTTTGCTCGCTCTCACATAATGCAGGTTTTGCTACAGCAAAAATTATACTTTTAAAAAATAAATACAATGCTAAAAGGCAGGAAGGCCCCCGCAGAAATGGGCAGAGCGGAAAGCCGAAGAAGTGCATGTTGTGCACCCAAGTCACTTGGAGGTGGAACAATTCAGGCCTAGGAAAAACTCCCTTGCAATTGTTGAGAGTTATCCCAGTCAGCACGATGGATGCTGGGTTAGGGCCTTTGTGTGCAAAGAGGAAAAAACAACAGTCAGCATAGGAAGAGCATTTAAGTAAAATGCATCCGTTCTTGTTTAATTTAAGGAAGAAAAATGAAGATTAAACCTTGATAGGAGGGAATGAGAAGTCCAGATGGATCTGGCACAGATATTGCCATTGACCAGAATCAGAGAGGAGTCCTGGGGAAGTACTTCACGCGTCTGCAGCAATGTCCAAAACCACTTTCCTGGTCTGCAAGGCCCCTAGGGGACAGGCTCTACAGTAGCTTGGCCAAAGAGCTTCACAGTGACAAATATTTCTCACTAAATACAATTTATTGCTATTTTCTAAAAGTCTTCCCCTACTGCAAATCGCTTTTGGAGGGCTGGCCGCAGGGAGAGCCTCAATATACAACCGTGGTGCTCTGCAGGAAAGGCTGCTGCAGCAAGGGGATTTCTTGTAGACACTTTAATCGCGCAGGGAAAAGGGCACCAAAACGCCCCTCCTTGTGCATTCCTGACGTAGCCCAGTTTTGCACTTAGAGGTTCAATGGCATGCAAAAACACGGCATTTTTTTCCGGCAGGGCGCGGGAGGGGCGGCGGGGTGAGCGGCCGGGCAGGAACGCGGGACGCGGCTCGCACCAACCTGCCCGTCGAGCGATGCCCAGAGCTGCGTTTTGCGGCTCTTCGTGCCTCCCCTGCGGCAGCGCACGGCCCTTCTCAACCCAACCTGCGGAGCAGCGCGCCTCCTCTGCCCAGAAACCTGCGGTTCTTCCAACGTTAAGCGGAAAGACTCCCACAAGCCGCCCTTGCTGGCTGCTTCCCCTGCTTTACACCAGGGCCAGGAGCAAGAACAGATTTCGGTTAGGCGCTGGTGTGGTTCTTGCCTTCCTTTCCCTCTCTCTGGTGAGCCGCTTGCAGACTCCTAGCACGGAATGTGCCACCCTCTCGGCTTGCATGACAGAGAGCGCTCCCCCTGGCAAAAGCAGCCAGTGCGGTCAAAATTTGCATTTTTGAGGGTAGCTAAAATTAACCTAAAACCTCTGAGAAACAAGGCTACATTTATTTAGACGTCCCAAGGAGCAAAGCACTTAACACAGAGGCATCTGCACTTGAAAGCGGAGCTCAAGGAAGAGAGGGCACGAGACCCTTCTTCCCCAAGCCCTGTGCCAGGGTGCCGGCTAGAGACGGCCGTCGCCGGCAGCAGCTGGGAAGCAGGATTCTGGTGACAGTTTTACTAGCTGCAAGCAGGTGAGTGACTCTCAGTACTAACTAGTTACTGTAAATGAGGGAAAGCGCCCGGCGGAGCCGAGAGCCCCATGTTCTGGGCGAGGACAGGAGCATCGCGGCTGGGCTCGCCGCAAAACTGCTCCTCGCTGCAGCGTGCCGGCTCCGCAGAGATCTCCCAAAACTCACTGCGTGGGAAAGCAGGCCGGGCTGCCGAGCCCGCTCCTCCCTGCTGACTCCTCCTGCCGCCAGGCCAGAGAGATCCCTTTCCTCCTGCCTGTGGGCTCTACATTTGCTCCATGACTTTGTCACCAAACCTTGAAAGGAAAGTGAGGTTGCCAAGGACAAATTCACAGCATTTTCCAGTGTTTACCTCCTCTGAACAGGCATAAGATTTCAGTGCAGTAAATCCCAGATATCTCCCTTGGAAAAAGCCAAGTTTTGCAGTCAGAAAATCCTGCTGGGTTTAGCGAGACATTTCACTCCTTTTACAGCATTAAGAAGAATTAAGGTTATTAAGGTTCAGGTTATTAAGAAATGAAAATGAACTCCTTGCAGACTTTTGTGTGATCTGAATTAGAAAACAGCTCTATCACGTTTCCCGCTTCCAGCACTCGCTGTTTGCTGAGATACCTGGGCCAGGAGCTTGGTTAATAGAGATGCTACCCCCTGTACAGAAGGTCTGATCTGCAGCACTGAGCGGGTAGTCCAACCTCTGCCCTTTGCACTAGTCTCTTGGCACACCAAGGCACACTTCACAGTACGTGGTCTTTGAACGAACCAAGCAATCCCACAGACCTGCCTATAAGCTTGCCTAAACACTTGGATTTCTGGTGAAAAGCTGGCACATGGTTCAAACCTACTGTCATTGCTCACTTTTCGCTCTAAATATATAAAGGTCTCAAATATATAGAGACATTTCCCAGTGCTTGTCTACATGGCATCTAGAGCCAGCAGCAAGTCCCAGCTTCCCTCTTTAGTTCATTGCACAGACACGCCATGGGAAAGGGGACCCTTTCCAACCCAGACACACATCAAAACCAGAACTGCTGCTATGCAAGAGTGGCAGTTCATCCTCAGGGAGGCTGCAAGGCCATGTCCTCACCGGGAGCCCCAGAGCACGGCAGGGCCACGTCCTTATTCACATCATTCAACGCACCATGGATAACTGGGTATCAGCTACTAAAGAATCACAGAACATCATCTACTGGTTTGAAACACTGATTAGAGGGACAGAAGGCAGTTAGTTTCTGTGCTTTACCTGTTATTTTGCATACTATAACTAAGGTTTTCCTTAAATATACCCCCTGAGGCAGCTGCACCTGCCTTGATCTAAGCCATGGGCTGCAACCTGTGAATCTAACTGTGATTTAGGCAGGTGTGAAGTTGGCTGCATCATCACCGTTAAATCACACAGCAGCAGTGAGACACACAGTCCTGCCTGCCCACAGGCACTCATAAAGATCTGCTTCTCCGCAAGACCATGGAGCCATTTCTACACAGAAGGCAAAGGGGAGGCTTGCAGGGATGCCGTGTGCCCATGCTACATATGGGGCACCAAACTGTGTCTTTCCAGGCATGTTTGCAGTGCTTTGGCCACCTTGCAATCTGGAGAACATAGAAGCAGATGGAGCAGAGACCAGAAACCCCATAGTCGACGCGGCTGATGAAGGCACCGTGTCTCCTTGAGCCCTGATGGGGAGACAGGAGTATGGAGAAGTATACACTTCTGGAAGAACAGCTAGTGAAGCTAGATCATGTCCACACTGCAGAGACGCTGGGTTAAGAGCTAGGAATTGTGTTATTCTTTGCTGTCCTCATGCAAGCAGCCAAATTGAATTAAAAGCACAATGGTATTCAGGTAAGGATTAGTGCATCTGGGCAGGCCTCGAGTGACTCAGTTTGTCTTTGCAGAGAAGATAAGCTGTGAAAATACTTCATAATAAAGATCTCTTTCAACACCCATCTCAGGAAGGAATAAAGTCAATAAATCTGGTCTTTGGTGAGAAATATTCTGATTTATATTCTGCAACTTATGCCAAGGTGATTCATGTAAATTAACACACCTATGTCAGGAAACCTGCCTGAACCGAGTAATTCGAAACTCGGATAAAAGCAAAACAATTTGAAAGGTGTGATATTTGCTCTACCAGGATTCAAAGCATCCTGTTTTTCTCTTATCAAAGGCAACCGACTGCAGCGAGCTGCATTTCCCGATGT